TCTTTTCAAAATAAGAGAATAAAATATATCAAGTCAGCTTGATGACTTGATGCTTGAGATGGCCAGGGGCCAGCGGCATTTTGGCTTCTGTTGGAGGAAGTCATGGAGGGGATGTGACCTCTGGCTGACTCCCGGGCTGCACCCCTGCAATCAGAGGCTCCCCCTCATTCCCGTCTTTCGCATGTATATTTCACCCATTGTTCTGCCACTAGGAGTCGATTTCAAGACGCAGCCTTGAGAGGGTACAGTACTGTTAAGACCATCTGGACCATATTCTCCTGACCCCCACCGAAGCCTCATTAATAGAAACTTGTAAGATTCCTCCAGGCAGGTGCAGAGATCCACTTGTCTTCCGGGGCCCAGGACAAGCCTTGTAAGTTCCCTTACCTATTACCCCTGCCACCTACCTTTCTGGAGAGGCCTGCCTCCTTTGTTTGGTCTCTCCTTGGTCTCTGTCTGGGGAGGGCGGGGGTCCAGTTTCGATGTTCCCTCAGTTAGCTCCTCAAGTTTCAAACCAACAGCTTCTGTGTCATCACTCTCGCTCGCTCCTTTTTTTTTTTTTCCCCCTCAAGGCTAACAGTTGCTAAGAAACCTTTTTGAAACCCAAAAAGCTATCTGATGAGGACTTACTAACAAACAACTCCTTCCAGCAAGGACCATGGGGTACATAATCTAATTTGCTGAGTTGGTTATGGACCTCGGTTGCACTGCGGGTAAGTCAACATTCCGTGCACCGTGGTTCCCTCCCCTAATTGCTGGGGAGTATGGTTCTGGTCTTGTTGTAAGCTGTACTGGAGCCTGACATAATTAAGCCTAGAGCGAATGAGATTCTTCTTTAGATATTAAAAGTGCCTGTGTTGTAAATAATAATATCATCATCTCTTTCATAGAAAGTACTTTCATTAAGAGCTGCATTTTAATTTCAACACATTTGCATGAATTCATCTGGCTAGTGGTGGGGGGTGGTATTTGATGATTTTTCATTTTTCATGAACTTGCCAGGTGTTTCAATTAGGAAGTTTATAAACCCTCCCTCCCCCAGGAGCCCTGAAAGGCATACTTTCTCAATCACGTGTTCTGAATGAGGGCATGTTCTCAATAATCACACATCTATTAGCAAGTAGTGACTCTATTGATTGAGGTGACATACCCAGAGGAAAGGGACTTTCTTCCAGGGCACCTGGGTGGCTCAGTCAGTTAAATATCTGCCTTCAGCTCAGGTCATGATCTTGGGGTCCTGGTTAAATGTTTGCCTTGTGCTCAGGTCATGATCTTGGGCTCCCTGCTCAGTGGGGAGTCTGCCTCTCCCTCTCCCCCTCCCCCTGCTCATGCTCTCTCTTTCTCTTTCAAATAAATAAAATCTTTAAAAAAGGGGGGGACTGTCTACAGAGTAAAATGAACCTAGATGGTTCCCCCTCTTGTAAATGTTTTTCAAAGGCTTGGGAAACAGGTGTGGAGAATATTCCATATTGTAACCACCTTGGCAGGTGGGAGCAATAAGGGAATTTGGTCTGGGTGAAGCTCACGGCAGGGTAGGGGCTGGGAGGATAGTGGACCCAAGGTTTGGGATCTGGCAAATAAGCCACAAGGGGTAGATCAGGTCTGCTGCTTTCCCAAGCAGGATCCCTGCACTCTCCTTGTCACAAACAGGGGGCAGTCTCTGTTAATTAAAGCCGGGAACAGCAGCCAGCGTGAGTCTCCTCTGAGGACCGGGCTCAAATGTCCTGGTGACAGGCAATATTTTAAAGAGATTGGAGGCAGATTCTGAAATGGACTTTTCTGTCTAGATTTTCTCTTTTCGCTAAGGTTTTCTTTTTTTTTTCTTTTTTCAAATCAAATTTAGAAGTGTCTGAAAACCCCCAGCTTTTGGGGGAAGGTGTCTGTGACCCACTCTTCTATCAGGCTTTTGCCCTAAGCTCCCAGCCCTAATGCTGGCTGGCAGGTGCCTCGGTGGGGTGAGGTGGGATGGGAAGGCAGGAAACCAGCGATTAGGAATCCAGTGGTCAGCATCTGCTTTCCCATTTGCTGGCCACTTGACCTTAGACAAAGCCTTTAACCTCTGAGTCTCAGCTTCCTAGACCTTGGCAAGCCTGCTGGAGGAGCCCTCCCCGATTTATTGTGGAGAAATATCCCAAACCCTCTGCACGGTCCCCGCAGCAGAAATTCCATCGTCCGTCCCTTTCCTCTCTTGGTTTAACACCAAGGGTCTTGCATCGAAGATCTTGACACGTTAATCAAAGCAGACTGTAAATATATATATATATATTTTAATTTTTTAAAAAAGATTTTATTTATTTACTTGACAAAGATCACAAGTAGGCAGAGGCAGGCAGAGAGAGAGAGAGAGGAGGAAGCAGGCTCCCAGCGGAGCAGAGAGCCCGATGCAGGGCTCGATCCCAGGACCCCGGGATCATGAACTGAGCCAAAGGCAGAGGCTTTAACCCACTGAGCCACCCAGGTGCCCCTGTAAATATATTTTTGAGTGCTTTTCACATCCAGCATTGCTGTAGGTGCTGGGAGACTGTAGGAGTCAAAGCCCCTTTCTGCCATGGACTTTACCATTTCAGTGTGGGGGACAGACAGAAACCAAACTTACAGTGTCAGGTGCATAGGGAGTCTGGAGGCCTATTTTAGGGAGGCACTACCTGCAGCGGTTGGAACACAGGCCCAGGAGTCAAATTTCTCAGGTCAAAAGCCAACCGAGGGACTTCTGTGGGGGAACCTACTTAATGCTTTGGGCCTCAGTCTCTCCCTCTGTTGTGTGGGCCCGGTTATGTTATCTAGCAGATAGAGTTAAATGAGATCAGTCCCTCAAATGTTTTAGCGAACATTCCCAGATTGTCCGCTAGAAGCTAGGCACTGTTCTAAGCATCTGTGAGGAGGTGATTTTAGAAAAGACAAGCTTAGCGGCCTTGTCGCAGGCACTGAATAAATGTCAGCTATCATTAGCTCTCACACACCAATGCTTGTGTTTGTAGAGACTCACACAGTGGTGGTGGGTGTGGGTCGACAGACGCGCCACACTCTCCTATTCTGGGATCCCATTACGGTGGAGCTGATGAATTTAGACTAAACAATCTCATACCTTGTCCAGGTGGGTTTGGGACAAAACACAGCCCGTAATTCAACGAACCTTCTGGGGCTGGTACACTCCGGATATGCTCCATCAGGGCTGGCCTGGGGTTTTTGCTGGAACAGGAAACAACAGGAGCAAACATTGTTTCCGAGTCTTGGGGAAGACACTAGGTGACATTGTTCAAAGACACCCTGAGCGACACTCCCTCATCTTCTGAGAAAACTTGCGGTAGAGTCTAACACCCAGCCCCCATGCTTTTTCAATGAAGGGGACACAGTGTGTCATTTTATTTGTGGCCCAACTTTTGGGGGGCTTTGAAAATGCCCCGAGAAGCCCCTGACTGCAGCCTAACGGAGGGGAGGGTGATGGAAACATTCTTTCCCTGCAAATCGCCTAGCCGACTGCAAAGTGTATACTTAGTTAATGCAATTAAAAACAAAACGCAGGGGCGTGTGGAGATCTAAATTCGGTGTAGCAGCTTTGGTGCAAATCCCGTTTTGGGGGCTACTGGAGTCAAATTCAAGCAGAGGGAAGAAGAAGTGGGAGAAAGGGGAGAGGGACGGAGCGTGATTGGAAACGGCTGAGTGGAGAAGGCAGATTTGGAAATTCCTGACAGGCAACCGGAGGCCGGACGCTGCAGCACGGGTGAGGATGTCTGGGGGGCTCGGTGAGCACAGGGGCCAGCCGGCTCCGGAGACCCACGCGCGGGGTCCAGGTACCGGAGGGTGGCTGAGGCCGGGTGCCCAGGCCTTGCGCTGCACCAGATCTGGGCGCGCAGAGGCGTCGCCGCGGTGTGCCCTCCTGTGGAACGCAGGGAACGCTGCGAGGTCGTAGAGGGACAGAAAGTGGCAGGTCCAGGGACCTGGGAGAGTCCCAAGGAAAGGCATCCGGGACGCGGGACGTGCCACTGCCTCGGCCTTATCTGCTGCCTCCCCCCTACCCCCCGAGCTTCCTTGACTATAGTCCGTCCCGGGGCCCCCTCCCGGGGGTGCTTACCCCGGGCCCAGTGGCTTGCCACCCCGCCTTCCCAGCTCAGCTTTGGTCCTCGGCTTGTCCCAGGGAGTTGAACCATTCGGGAGGCACGCCTGGCTTGGAGGGCGCAGTCGGGGGAAGGGTGAGGTAGCCCGGTGCACGTGGAAAGGGCGAGCCTGATCAGCCTGTGCCCCCGTCTGCCTTGGAGTGGAAGCCACTTAGTGTGTCCTTATCCCCTCCGAGTCACCCCTTCCCTGGAGGGCAGATTCGAGCCGCAGCTCCTGCGCACGCACGCCTGAAAAAGCCACGGGCGGAGCCGCCTCTGCGCCCAGAACAGGTCTGAGCCGCGCCTCCCGCCCAGAGAGGGCGCGGGAGGTCCCGCAGCGGTCCTCCACCTGCCGGGAAACCCGAGCGGTGCCTCCAGCCCCGGCGGCTGCCGAAGAAGCTCCCTCCTCCCCGCCCGCCAGCCTAGCTCAGCTCTGCACGCCCCCCAACTCGCGCCCGCCCGCCCGAGTCACCTCTTCCGCGCCCCCGCCCCTCTCGAGCTCGCGCCCGTTCCACCCCCCCATTCCCTCCTCTGCCCGCCCTCCTCCCCCTCCCCCTTCCCTCCTGCCCTCCCTTCATTCCACAAGTGTTGCTTCGCTCTCTCCAGCGCACTTGGCGAGCTGGGGAGGTGAGAGGGATCCTGCGAGCGGGCGCGGGGCGGCTGGTCCGAAGCCGCCGGCGGAGGAGAAGCGCGAACAGACCGACTCTCCCCTGCTCTCCGGCCCCCGCCTCTCCCCGTAGCCGGCCGGACCTGCACCCCGCGCTTGCCCCCGCTCATCCTCCCCCCCGCCCGGCCAGGCGCGCTCCTCCCCGGCCGGCCCCTCGGCGCGCGGCGCGCTGGAGGCGAACGCGGGCTGAGCCGAGCGCAGTGGCCGCCGACCACCGAGCGCCCCGCGCCGCTCCCTGCATGTGCGGCCCGCGGCGGCTCGCAGCCCCCGGCAGCAGCCTCGGCAGCTTCGGCCGCGCCTCGAGAGGCGGCTGCAGCGGCTCCAGCGGCGGCCGAGCGGCCGAGCCCGGGCTGGGAGACACGATGCGCCGCGTCCTCCGGCTGCTCCTCGGCTGCTTCCTCACCGAGCTGTGCGCCCGCGTGTGCCGGGCGCAGGAGCGAGCGGGGCACGGGCAGCTGGCGCAGCTGGGCGGCGTGGTAGTGCTGGCGGGGGGCAACCGCTCCGGGGGCGCCTCCGGAGAGGCCGGTGAGGGCGCGGGGGTCTCGGACGCGCCCCCTACCCGGGCGCCCACGCCGGACTTCTGCAGGGGCTACTTCGATGTCATGGGCCAGTGGGACCCGCCGTTCAACTGCAGCTCGGGCGACTTCATCTTCTGCTGCGGGACTTGTGGCTTCCGGTTCTGCTGCACGTTTAAGAAGCGGCGATTAAACCAGAGCACCTGCACCAACTACGACACTCCGCTCTGGCTCAACACCGGCAAGCCCCCCGCGCGCAAGGACGACCCCCTGCACGACCCCACCAAGGACAAGACCAACCTGATCGTTTACATCATCTGCGGGGTGGTGGCCGTCATGGTGCTCGTAGGCATCTTCACCAAGCTGGGGCTGGAGAAAGCGCACCGGCCCCAAAGGGAGCACATGTCCAGGTGGGCTGCCTCCCCCCTCCGCCTCCCCTCCGGGCGCCGCTCTCCCCGCTCTTCCCTCTCCACCTTTCCCCGGGCAATGGCGCTCCCCACCCCCCGCCCCCAACCGCGTCTCGCCTGGGGGAGGTTGCCCGGGAAAGCCAACTTCGGCTGGGAGCGCGGAGAGGGGGCGCTGGGCTCCGCACAGGTGTGGATTTGAGCGTGTGTATGTGTGTGTGTGTCGGGGGTCTCTGCCCCCTCCACCCTCACGCCGCCCCCTCCCGCCTATGATTGAAGCGGACTGGAGACACACAGCCCGGGAGCCCGCGGCCCCCAAGTCTTGGGTTTTGGGGAGGGGTCCTCGGCTCGGATTCCACATCCTAGCCTCTAGGTAAACAGGGCAGGCGAGCCCGAAAGGGAAGGGGGGCGTGTGTGAGCCCGCGCGCGCGTGTGTGAGGGAGGGAGGGAGGAAGGGAGGGAAGGAGTGTGTGCCGCCTGCAACTCGTACGGCTCGAGAAAAAGAGGCGAGGGAGGTGGAAAGAGAAGGGAGGGCGAGAACAAAAGCCTTGCCTGGAGCGGCCGCCTCGCTCTCCCGGAGCTGCCAGGTCCCTGGAATTGGGACCTCAGTTGCCTCCTCCTCCCCAAACCCTCGCCCCTTTCCCCCGGTCACCACCTCTCCCTGCTGGGGGCCGTGGCCTCAGCTGCGCGCTGAGCCCCTTGGCGGGGTTGGCGTGAACTCCAAGGGCGGGAGCCCTGCTCACCCCTCCACCCCCCGCCGCCCCCCAACACCCTGATTCGTCAACTTTCCCGGTTGCCTTATTCATTATGCAAGTCCCAGCGCGAGCAAGTCGCAGCAGATGGGAGAAGGCATTTGGGGATTAATGGAGCTATTTGCCTTTTGCTTTTTTTAAAAGTGTCTAAATTGATTCGCACAACCCAGTAACTTTGGAGGCGGAGGACACAGGCACGAGGACGCAGCCCCCAGACCCGACAGAGGCCGGGGTTGGCGTGAGGTCTGGGCGGGCGGGGTCGAAGAGCGACAGGCCGTCTTCGAGCCGCTGGATGGTTGGGCGCAAGCTCGGTCTTCTTTCCGACTGTGGGCAACGGGGTCGCCGTGTGTCGCCCCACTACACGCAGACACACACCCTCCCCACACCTCCAGTCGGGGCCCTTGTGTGCGCGTGTGGATGCACGCAATCCGTGCGCCTGCCTAAAAAATCTGAACAAAGAGACCCACCAAAAATAGGCGAAGGAACATTACCACCTCACCAGTAATTATTTTCTATTTATACGCGGAGTATCCGATGACTCCCCCCCCCCCCCCCCCCCCAGTGAGGAGGGATTTGGGGGAAGAGGTAAAGAAGTTGATCTTGGTTTGGGTCAGCAGAGAGGCGTGGATGGATGTCGGGGTCTTGAGGCACAAAGTCAGCTCTAAGGGTATCTAGAAACACTGACCAAGTAAGAGTAACACGCTGGCCCCGCGCACCTCCTGCAACCCCGAAGATGCCCCCTCACCAGCCCCAGCGGCCGGTGCTTCACGTCCCCGCAGTCCCCGCCAATCCCTATAGCTTCCAGGGGTCTGTGTTAAGGTGAGGGAGGAGCACCGAGGCAGGAGGACTGCGGCAGGCGGCGGGTGTCGCCTTGGTAGGGAGAGAGTCACCCAGGGATAGGTAGGCTGCCTTGCAGATTCGGGTTAATTCTTCTGCCGAAATATCCACTGAGTCTTTTCCTTGCAAACCAGAGCCTAAAGGAGCCCTCCTGGGTGTTTGGGTGGGGGGTGGGGGAGGGTAGGAAGGGTGGGAGAAGGGAGGTGAGAAGGTGGGAGCCTGGCTAAGGGTGGGCGGCTCCCTTTGGACGTCTGGGGGAGAAGGTGATGCTAGCTTCAGGCCCTCTTTGATCTGGGTATTTCTGTGGAGACCGCGCTCCAAGGCAGACCTGAGGGCCCAGCAGGGACTCAGCTCCCTGTCCTGCCCCCTTGCAGCTCTGTCAGGAGAAAAAGAGTCACCCAGCCTAGCTGGTGGCAGCTACTTTCTTCTGCAGGTACCCGGAAAGGGCTGCTTGGGGGCGGAATTCGGGGGCACCCAGCCCTCTGGTACCAGCCTCCACTTGGCTTCTCCTCTGTACACATTTTGGGAATTCCAGAATGCATTGGAAGTGCATTCTCTAAGAGAGAAAGAACAATTGTTTCCCTCCGCTCTACCCCCCCCCCCCCACCATGGTGGAGCCCATTCTGGGGCTTGAACTCTCCACCCTGAGATCAACACCTGCGCTCAGATTAAGAGTTGGAAGCTCCGCCTCCGGAGCCACCCAGGTTGCCCCCAGGAATAGCTGATTTTTATTGGCAGTTTCCAGGGTATAATTTTCAACCCTGGCTTCGGATCCACCTGGAATGCTTTTTAAAAAATCCTGTTGCTAGGGGCCCCACCCTCGACAATTTAGATCAGAATCTTCAGGGCTGCGCGAAGCCTGTGTACATCTGTGAAGCTCTCTAGGCTTTCCAGCGCGGGGCCGATCACTAGTAAGGAAAAGGAACTAACGTTTGCCAGGCACCGTACTAGGGTGTGTGTGTGTGTGTGTGTGTGTGCGTGCACGTGCACGCACACGTGTACCTGTGAATGTACGTGCGTGCGTGAGTGCATATGTGTGTGTGTGTGTGTAAATCTCAGTGCTCACAGCTGTGAGACGGGGTGCTGTTAATTCACATTTATAGGTGAGAATATCCAGTTTGGGTGGCTGGCCCAAGGTCACACGGGGAAACCTTAATCCCCGGCCCCCTGGTTTTGGCTGTGTTTTCAGTTTCCCTGAGCATTCGCGGCGGGGGAGGGGGGACGCTTCCTAAAAATGCAAAATGCATATTCTCCTGTTCTGTCCAGGAGGGACTGCAGATCAGTGTAGGTCTGGGATGAGCCCTAGAGATCCGCATTGAACAGCCTCCCTGAATGGTTCGTAAAAAGTGCCCCCCGCCTTCACAAACACTGTTCTTGAGTTTGGGACTATCACACACAGTTGGGGAGGGAAGAATTAATCCACTCTGACTCTCTGATTTGCGTACTGTTGTGTGTTGTCTGCATGTATAGGGCTTTCTGTGTAGTTGTGGTGCGGGGGCTGCCCCGCCCCCCCCCCCGCCCCCCCAGGACCCTCCAGATGCGTCTTACCCAGTGGATGCCTTGAAACCTTTGGAGTCCAGGCCCCAGCTGGAGCTCATTAGCTGTTGCCTGTAGTGGCTGAGGGGTGAATTGGGTGGGGCCAGCACCCCTGAACTTGGCCTCAGAGAGGTTCTGAGGTGGCTTCCAGGTGAATCCAACGTCTTTTCTGCAGCCCCTTAATTTATTTTGTTTTGGGCCGTGAAGGTTAGTGGGATGAGGGTTTTTTTTCTCCTTTTGTCTGACCCTTCAAAGACTTACAGCACCTGGCTGTCCCCATGTCACCAACTGTTCTCGTGACCCCTTGCGCTTGTGTGATCCCAGAAGAGGCCTCGGTGATGTCAGTTTTCAGGCTCAGAGTCCTGGGCATGTGACCCGCCTCCTTCTGGGCTGAATGGGCTTGAAAGCAGGAGAAAGTCAGTAATTCCAGGAGCTGTGGGGGTCTTGCTCACGCTGGTGTAAGAACTCCACAGACACTCATTCACCAGCGACAGCAGCGTGACATCCAGCCACTATTTATTGGAAGCAGGGACTGCAAAAGGTGGCCAGCTATGGTTACCAAACCCCACAGACAAATTTTGTTTGATCTGCACTTTATTTCTACTATACTATTCTTATTTTTAAGTTTCTTTCTTTCTTTTTTTTTTTTTTTTACTGTGAAACATTTTAAACATACAAAAACAAACAAACCAAAAAACAAAAATAAACTTGAAAGAATAATAAGAAAGAACTCCAGAATAACCTGTGAGGTTTCTTATCCCCAGCACCACCAATATTTGGGGCCGGCTCATGCTCAGTGTTGGGGGGCTGTCCTGGGCAGTGAAGGGTGTTTGCCAGCCTCCTTGGGATCTACCCACTAGGTGCCAGTAGTACCCACCCCACAACCCAGCTGTGACAGTAAAACACGCGCGCACACACACACACACACACACACACAAACAAACATATCCATAGCCGTAGCCACATGTCATCAAGGAGTAGAATCACTCCCCAGTCAGGAACTACTAATCTAGATGGGACAATCATTAGTATTTTGTCATATTCGCTTTATAGTACTCTCCATATTTTTATTTTCTCTCTTCTTTCTTCCTCTTGTCCTCTCTTTTTCCTTTGTTTTTTGGCTGCAGCTTTCGAAAATCAGTTGCAGACATGACATTTCATCCCTGAATAATTTAGCATGGATCCCCTAAGAACAGGGATATTCTCCCACGCACCAAAATTCCAGTAGCACACCCAAGAGAAAGGACGGAGTTTCTACCGTATGTATGATCAGATAGCCGATCATATTAAAATGTTCCCAGTCATGCCAAAAAATGTCTTCCAGAGCTTGGGCTTTCAAACGAGGATCCGGTCAAAGTTCACTCATCTGGCTGTGAAATTTCTTTAGTCTGTATTATATATTGTGTTTTAAAACCAACTTAAAACCAATTGCCAACCTTTAAAGCTTGGCGTTATCACACAGACATCCAGATTTCTGATTTCTCTGGAGAAACTGGCAGGTCTGACAACACTGGACCTGAATTTTTCTGATGGTGGCCGCTGAGTGGGAACTTCCCTCTCTAGGAATCTTGCATTCAGGTTCCCCTGGGTCTCCACCCGCCACCCAGTTCACTTAGCGCTGTTACCTACAGTCCATGGAGATGCTGTCAGGCCAGCCTTAGCAGCGGGAGCTTAAGTCAGATGGCCGGAGATTCAGTCCAGCTTGGCCACTTAATAGCTGTGTGACCTTGGGAAAGTGACTTCACCTCTCTGAGTTTTTTTTTTTTTTTAAAGATTTTATTTATTTATTTGACAGAGATCACAAGTAGGCAGAGAGGCAGGCAGAGAGAGAGGGGGAAGCAGGTTCCCTGCTGAGCAGAAAGCCCAATGCGGGGCTCGATC